ATGTAGGCTTAAATGTCTTATTGCTTTATTTGTCCAAAGCTATTTAATGTCTTTCTCATTATTTCGTATTAATTTTTTGTTTTGCTGCATTATATCTTTTAATCATTCAAAGAAGCTCTGAGGTGTCCTTCTGTGTCTAGCCATTTCTTAACTAATACTTTTTTTGTCCTTACTTTTGAGTGTTAATTTTTTTGTAGGACTTCTGAGAGTCTTCAGTATACTAATGTTCATCGTGACCTTCCAGAAGGTAGTGTAGTTTCTGGTACTTTCAGAACTTAATGGTCTGTGGAATCTAGTCACGACTGTTTTGCCCTCCAAATATCTCAGGGGACTAATTTTCAATTGAAACACTATTATCTGCTGGTCTCAGCCTATCAATAACCAGTGTTGAGGTTGGACCAACCCTTGTGGTTGTTACTATGATTGCAAGACACTCTTCAGCAATAACCATCAGGAAATTTTTAAAAAATAAGTTTATTACTTACAGGACCTGGAAATTACATAACACACCTGGGGCCACATAGTGAGGTCCAAGGTTGCGGGTAGAGAGAGACAGAGAGAGAGAGAGAGCACATAGGCCTCTGGTTCTGCTTTCAATGGAGTTGAAGTTGGCGGCCTAGGGTTTCTCAGGCTCACTATTGGTGAATTTAAAACATATGAAGGGGAATGTAAAGCTCAAGAAAGGAAAAAACAAGTGGCCCAAATGGTCAGTAATCAAAATCAGCCAAGATATCTAAAACAAAGGAGCCTCAGTCTGGGGAGGCACCCTGGCTCTTTTTCTAGTCCTGCAGCTGGCAATGTGTTTATTCGAGATAGCCATCCTTGAAGTGGATGCCACAGCAATCAAAGCTTAAGTCAGGCACTTGCATTACAAAAAGAAAAAAACTATCAGGGCTTACACAGACACATTGAGAAATACTTGAATAACCCAGTTTGGAACTGATTGACAGTCGCAGAGGTCACCTCTGCCAGCTGGTTGGCTTGGCCAATGGCAGGACATGGTGGGAAGAGAGAGGTCAGAGAATTTATATAGCCGAGGGTGATTCACTATCTCTTGGGATTTTCCTTTAATGATTTAAAATCATAAGGAAATTCAGAGAGGTGAGCCTGGCATTTGGGATGCTTTTTATGTAGGAGCATTTACTGATTCTGGTGGGTGTCGAGTGGAATCTAATTGTGGTTTTAATTTTCATTTTCTTGATTACTAATGAGATTAAACATGTTTTCACATCTTTCGTGCTCATTTGGATATTCTCTTTGTGTAAAGTGCCAAGACAAGTTTCTTGAACAATTTTGTGCTGCATTGTCTCTTTTTTGCTTAGTACTTGTAAGAGTTCTTTATACGTCCTGGATATATACCCTTTCTTGATTATATGTATTAAAAATGCCATCTAACACTCTGTGGGTTGTCAATTTTTGCTTTACATATTTAGACATTTTGTTATTAGGTATCTACACATTTAAAATTATTACATTGTCCTCGGGATTTGGCCATTTTTATAAGTATGTAATATTCCTCTTTTGCTTCAGTAATGCTTTCTGTTCTAAGGTCAACCTTGTCTGATATTAATAAGACTTTAGTTTGGGTTTTGCCTGACATATCTTTCTCATTTTTCACTTTAAAATTTTTTGTGTCTATCAAGATTTGCCTCTTTTAAATAGAAAGTAGCTGGGTTTTGACTTTTTTTATCTAGTCTGAAATTTTTGTCATTTATTGCACAAAATATATTTACTTATGCATTTGGAATGCAATCTATCATGTTACTATTGGCTTTCCTGGGAGAAACAAAAGTTCTAATTCTTATTAGAATTTGATAAATCAGATATAAATGCTGTGATTTTTAGGGTTATAAGTAAACACACAGTAAAAGGCTTTATAATTACCAGATTGTATAATTACCAGACTAATCGAAGAGAGAAATGTAATAATAATAAATACGTAATCACTTGAAAATAATACAAGAAAAGGGAGATAAGAGAGTATAGAGCATTGCCAAAAAATGGAAAACTTTTTTCTTTGTTCATTTACTTATTTAATTTGAATTCTCTATTTTATGGTATTGATTTCCTTAAATGTTTTGTGTCTATTCACACTTTTGTTTGATTGCTTGTTCCACGTCAGTGAATATATGCTCTGCTTACCACAGACTACATCTGGTGATCGCGAGGGAGGAGTAGGCACTAAGCCAGATCACATGTGCTGGTTGATCGTGATCTAGGTGGGAGAGAGCATCCTGCTTCTCCAGACCAAGGCGCCCTCTGTGTCTCCATGCTCAGAATCCTAGCGCTGGAGGGTGAACTCAGAACTTTCATTTGGGGACTAATTCCATAATACCTTTCTCTCTACTTTTTCCTTTGTCCCTGTTATTTTGAAGGTTTGAAGTTATTCTTATCTCTGTCCTCCTTCTTACTCAGATCTAGGACGCCCATCTTGTGTATTTGCCTGGAGCAGAACTGTAATTTGGCTTGGAAAATAGTTCTCAGACCTTGGTTTGGGGATAACCTACATCGGTGTGTGATGCATGGGTGAGGGAGAAAGAGACAATGACCCAGCCGTTGCCAACATAATTTTAAAAATCAATTGCCTAAACAACTACCCTGGGCTCTGTCCCACTTGCCTAGAATTTATAGTTTTTGACATTGAATTTGGGCTTTTCCCATATTTGTTCTTATTTTTGTAGTGGTTTTCTTCTGTGCTTACTTTGGAGTAGAGTGGTTCTATTCATGCTTCTCTGTCTCTCAAGTTTCATTTCCACTTTCTCCATGTTTCCTTAATTCCTCAGATCTCTTGTCTAGCTAATGATGTCTCTAACCTTTTCATCATTTCATGCAGTATGGAGAGGGAGGAGAGACTGACACTTGTCCTTAGTCCAGCATCTCAACCTCTCTTGTGAAGTCATGAAACTCCGTTGCCTTGGCTTCTGTGAAGCTACATTTTCTTAGTTTTCCCACTACCTTCCGTAGCTCTCTTTTTATATTCCTCTGGGAACGCCTACTTCTGCTAATGCTGATTTTATCTCCTCTCAGTGGGTTTGATCTTCTCTGCCTCCACCTACAACCTGGGTGGTCTCATCCCTCTACATGTGGTAATTGCCTGGATTTACCTCCAACGCCATACTTTCACTCCCTAACTCTTATCCAACTCCTGACTGTCAACCTTGTTTGAAGGTCTTGACACAATTCAAACTAAACATGCTCAAAATTTTACTATTTGTACCCATAATGCTGCCCCGTCCATGTCCATTGCCTTAGTGAATGGTCCTATCACTCATTTAGTTCCCCAAACCAGAATCTGAGACTCATCCTTTCCAGTTTTCTCCTTATCCTACATATCCATTCTCCCACCAAGTGCTGCCATTTCTACTTCCCAGACATCTTTCAAACCCATTCACGTCTTTCCACTTTCCTTAGTGCCAAGGGTAGTTCAGGTAACCATCATCTATTCCCTGAATTACTGCTGCTTCCAGGAGTCTAACTCCATGACGTCAGTGTTGATTCTTCCTATTGTTTCAATACATGGTATCCGGGATGATATTTCTAAAATACACTTTTTTTTTTTTCATTTTGAGAATGGTAATTCCAGAGAAGTCTAGATAACATAGTCTTTTGAATTAGGGAAAACTGGATTTCGATCTCACCTACACCAATTATGTGAACATCTCTGAGCTTCAGTTTCATCTTCTGTGAAAACCTGAGTAGACATATGTCTAAAGCATATGGCCTGACACACAGGAAACATCCAATCAGTTTTAAATATAGATATAATCATAATCACTAACTTGAAGACTTTTTATAAATTCTTATTTCTCAGAATAAATCCCAAAGACCAGAAGGTGATATAAGTCCCTCAATTATCTGACTGTTCTTATTCTCTGCTCCTGTTCTATTCTTCAGTGATTCTATTCTTCAATCTTTATGAAGCTCTTTCAGTTTCTTGAGTGCACCATGATGCTTCTAGCCCTTTGGCTTTTCTTCATTCTGTTGACTTGGTCTGGAAACCCCTTACTCTTTTTCTTGTAACTCTTCTTTCATTTGTCTGTCTCTTACTCATTCAACAAGTCTCCAGTTAGACGTCTCCTTCTCCAAGAAATATCTTCTGCATCACCAAAGTCAGATTAATTGATCCTCCTGTGAGCTCTCTTTAGAATTCTCTTTGGCACCTTGCAGGGAACTGCTTATCCTGGATTATGATGGTGTGTTTTTACTGGTCTGTATGTCCCATAGTCTATATGCTCCTTGGAAGTAGGGATTCTGTCTATCATTTTTTACCATTTTGTCTGCAGCACATAGCACACTACTTGGTTCATGGCAATTTTTCTCTAAGAAAATGTTGAATGAATGAGAACTGAACATGACTTTGTTTTCCTCCTCCATATAAAGTAAGTATTGATTTCATATTATAAATCAAGAATCTTAGGTTCAGAGAAATAAGAAGGTCATCCAAGGAATGCTTGGAATTGGGTTTGTCTTAGTCAGAGGCAAGAGTTTTTTCTATGATACCAGCTGCCTCTTTGATTTATAAAAGTGTTGTGTTTATTATTGCCATGAAACCAACTTGTTGCCCTTTTACAGACATTTATGTCTAATGGTGGAATTTCATGTAAATAATACATTTAAATTGTGTATAGAATGGCAACACACAGTTCTCTAGAGGGACAAGTGGGAACATGTGAAAATGCATGAAATTGTGAAAAGGGGCTTTTCATATGATGTTTAAATGCCATTAAATTAATTTGTGCATATAAAGACCTTGGGGCAGAGTCTAACATACTGTAAGTCCTCAACCACTGATATGCACTATATACACTGATATACCACGAATAGTGGTAAACACCACTATTGTTTTCCTATAAAAGACTGTATGAGGCAGTCGCTACTTGTTCAGCCTATTTCACAATACACATCCACACCCAGATTAGGGACACAGACTCAGTTAGCGCTTCCGACATAAAAAAAGGAACTAGCTGTGCACCACCTTTGGCATTTAGAAAAACTGCTAGGAGAGGAAGGCAGATTTAAACTGAGAGAGGTGTGGAGTTGAGGCAAGTTATTGTACCTGGACTGAAGGCGCTTGCCCAGAGTCTCTGGCACTTATAGGACACCTACAGACATTGCCGGCTTGAAGAAAGGTAGGTCGAGGGACATCCCTTCCAAGGCTTTTGGGCTGATGATTTTCTCATCCACTTGTTCTAAGGTCCCTGGAAATGGAATGAGAGAGAATGAGGTCACCTCCCATGGCACAAGGTGGTATTCTAGTTTGGGGTGGGTCAACTGCATCTATAAATATACGTTTAGGTACTTTGGGGAACAATCTTTGCTGCAGAGGATGGGGGTAAGGACAGGCTCCTGACGGCTGATGCTGGATGAGGTTGTTTTAGTTGCTTTTGTTCTCTAAATCCCCAGGCTATCAGGAAACTGAAATCAATATTTTCTGCTTTTGGCTAATTATTTCATATACTCTTGATTTATCTTCTTTCATGGTGTTTATTCTCTGTCTCTGACATGTGGTTTTTATAAGTAAACATTTAAGAAAATATCTGCCACATGCAGAGTTTGGCAGAGATGCTGTAGGGCAAAGGTGGAGTCCCCAGTATTATGCAGGCCCTGAGATAGACTGTGGCCTGACCTGGTTCTCCAACTATCTTTGGTACCATTCGTGAGAATGCAAGGCATAAACTGAGACTGCTCATAGGAAGTCTACTAATGAAAGAGACATTGCAGATTCTTGGCATTCTTGGGATCAGAAAGCAGATGAAAGGCAATTGTGCCCAATGCATTCTTTCTGGATGAGGTAAATGAAAGCCAGAGAAAGGAAATACCTTACCCAGAGTCATACTATGTAGTAAAAGAGCTAGGAATAGAACTCAGACTTCTTGATTACTACTCTAGGCCTTTGCCCGCTCTGCTCACCATCTCTACATTACCATCATCACCCTCCATCAAATCCTCCAAGTTCAGGCCTCCTTTTGGGCCTCTATTCTATTTTTTATAAGTTTGACGAGGAAAGAGAGGTGGCCCTTTCAGACCATCCTCCTCATGCTCCCTCCTTGGCATTGTGACCCATGTGGGGGATGGTGACATAAAAATAAGGAAACAAAAGATTGATGCTGGTGCTGATCCACAAGGAGATTGGAGCCAGTAGAAGAAGAGAGGGGGAATTTTCTAGGTTTCTCCACATCTGTAATAGCAACAACTACAAAAAAAGACACTGTACTTGTCAATGGCCCAATATATGTCACAGACGATGTGACAAGACTAGGATTCAGAGTCTTCCCCAGTCTGGAAGAAATGTTCCTCATCTCTATCCAATATTCTCTGTCGTTTTGTTTCCATGATATTTGAATATAGGAAAGTTGAGCCCTGGAGAATAAACACACATTTTTGTCCTTGGGGAATTTACCTTCCCTAAGTAAGTAACACATGGATTTCTACAGTATGAAGGTAGGAGAAGTTATATGAATTTATAGCGAGAGTTTTTAAAAAGACAGAGCGCCAAGTCAAAGTGACCGAGACCTGACGTGTGTTACCAAAGAACAATGGAAAGAACACCAAGAGTCATTTGAAAGCATTGTTTTAATATAGTGGCTGGCCTGGGGAAACTCAGTCTTATTAAGTATAGACAGGGAGAACCACCAGAGATGTTTGCTAAGAGTGAACCTACATTTCCTAAATCCCCAGTCTGAAGGTATGTCTGAGAGATCAATGCAGAAATTCCTATGCATTAAAGAGAAGTAAACTCAAGTACACATTCAACTGGATTAAGAAGAATCATTGGCACTGACATTCTCGGCAATGGGTTTAACATGTGCAAATGCCACCATGTAGGAATGAAATTGCTGATCTGGAAGTATTAAAATAAGTCAAATATATTTGTGGTTTCAAAAATAAAAAGAGATTCAAGGTAAGGTTAGGATAATGGGACGTGGACTGAAGTAGCAGGGCTTCTCCTATCAATTACATTACCCATTTTAACTTTATCATGAGGGTACTGGGAGGTCAAGGAAGGATTTTAGAGGGGGGAGGTAACAGAATTGGTTTCACACTTTAACATGATCATTCTATCTACAAAGTGGAGAATGAACTGGACATACAGGGGCACAAGTGGACACAAGACAACATTAATGGGGTTTGACAACATTCCTGATGAAAATTGGATGATAGCTAAGTCTGAGGATGTGTGAGAAAAGGTTGTGTAGGGTCAGAAGAACATGACTGATTTGGACATGGAGGATGGATAAGAGAAGGCATCAATGGAAAACTATCATTTTTTTTTTTTTTAATGTGGACAACTGAGTGAATTGTTGGTCCTTCTGTTAAGGAAAACGCTTAGAATCCCATAATCCTTTTATGCTTCCTGTTACTTTTAGCTTTTGCCATTCTATGTTAGAAACCCTAAAGTAATGCCCTCTACATACTTTTCCTTGCACCATTAATTTTTGAAGGAAAATTGTTGAGGAAGCCTGGATATCTTCTGTTTAGATCTTCTAATGTCCAAAGTGAAAATTCTCCCTATTCCCGTCTGGAACAAGTTGCTAAATGAAGATAAAATTATGCACTTTATTGTAATGACTTTAAATTAAGTTCAGAGGGGCGGAGCTGCCAGGAAAAAAATGGGTTAGAGGACGTGGATTAGATTGAAAGTCGAAAAGAAAACTACCTATTTTATGCTCTTTTGTGTAAATTGAGATCTTGGGTTCTGTTCAGGGGATGCTCTAGTGTACAGAAAAGTGAACACACCCACTCGACGATGTGTAGTATGGAACCCATCTCACAAACTCAGTTATCATTGGGACAGACTGAAAGATAAAGAGGAGAGTTTAATGGCCTGCCTCTACGTAGTCTTGTATGCAGCTTATTCCATGAGAGTAGAAAACAGAACAACCCTGACCATTCTATCCAATCTTTGAGACAAACTGCAAAAGAGAGGGAGCCTCAACTACTGACCACCTGGCACAATGAATAACATGCTCTAACTAATCATATAAGCCCCTTCCTCTGCCTCTCCACCTCCCCTATTACAGGAGCAAGTTGGAACAAGAGAATATGAGGAATAAAATCTTGCTCTAGCATGTCCTTGAATGGCAGGAAGTATTAGAAGAAGTTTGTGTTTTATATATAAAGCCAAAAAATGGTTAAATAACAGTAGTAACAACAATAATAATAGTTAATATGCATTTAGTATTTGGTATGTGACATGCACTGGTTTAAATGCATTATCTCATTATTAAATTCCCACAAGAGATAGGCACTATTATTTGCAGTATAGACTTTTAGAAACACAAGATTAAGTAGCCTGAATAAAGAGTGGCAAAGCTGGAATTTAAATCCAGGTGGTATAATTCCAGAGCCTCTTTGCTTAAGAAGATCCAGTCTACTAGTCTGGTAAATGGAAGAACTATTTGGTTTGCACATTTGTCCACTCATCAGTTCATGGACATTTGGTGTGTTTCCATCTTTCGGCCATTCTGCATAATACCGCTAAGAAAATGCATATGCAGGTTTTTGTGTGGACATATGTTTTCCTTTCTCTTTGTTATATGCCTGGGAGTGGAATTGTTGGGTCATATGCTAAGTCTAATGTTAACATTTTGAGTTACTGCCAAACTGTTTTCCAAAGTGGTTGCACCAATTTTCAACCTCAGCATCAAGGTTCCAATTTCTCCACATTCTCATCATCACTTGTTACTACCTGTTTATTTTTTCCATCCTAGTAGATGTGAAGTCGTATCTTTCTGTGGTTTTGATTTACATTTCTTTAATGACAAATGGTGTTGAGAGTTTTTTTCATGTGTTTACCAGCCATTTGCATATTTTCTTTGGAGAAATGCCTATTCAAATTCTTTGCCCATTTTAAGTTGGGTTATTTTTCTTTTTTATAATTGAATTGTGTAAATTCTTTATATATTCTGGGTACAAGTCCCTTATCAGATATAAGATTTGCAAATATCTTCTCCCATTCTGTGAGTTGTCTTCTCTCTTTCTTCATGGTGTCCCTTGAAGTGGGGAAATTTCTATTCTGAAGAAGTCAAATTTATCTGTTGGTTTTTTGGTTGCTTGAGCTTTTATTTTTATGGCTGAGAAACCATTGGCTAAACCAGGTTCACAAAGACTAACTCCTTTGTTTTCTTCTAATAGTTTTCTAGTTTTAGGTCTTATATTTAGGTCTTTGATACATTTTGAGTTAATTTTTTTTTTAAAGATTTTATTTTTTTTCCTTTTTCTCCCCAAAGCCCCCAGGTACATAGTTGCATATTCTTAGTTGTGGGTCCTTCTAGTTGTGGCATGTGGGACGCTGCCTCAGCGTGGTTTGACGAGCAGTGCCATGTCAGCGCCCAGGATTCGAACTGACGAAACACTGGGCCGCCTGCAGCAGAGTGCGCGAGCTTAACCACTTGGCCACTGGGCCAGCCCCCATTTTGAGTTAATTTTTTACTTGACATGAAGAAGCGTCTTTCTTCTTTTACATTCTTTTACAATGAATTGGGATGTGTCCTTCTTCTTCTCATCTTTCAAAGAGTTTTTGAAGAAAGCTTGTTATTTCTTTTTAAAATGCTTAAAAGAATTCACCACTGAAATCACATGGGCATGGGCTTTTCTTTGTGGAAATTTTTTAAAATTACTAATTTAATTTCTTGTTATAGATCTATATAGTTTTGTATTTATTTTTGATTCAGTTTCACCAGTTAGTGTCTCTATAGGGATTTGACTATTTCATCTAAGTTATCTAATTTATTGGTGTACAGTTTTTCCCAGAATTCCCTTACAGTTCTTTTATTTTTGCCCGGTTGGTAATCATGTTCCTGTTTTCATTTCTGATTTTAGTAATTTCTTGTCACACTTTTTCTTGTTCAGTCTAGCTAAAGGTTTTCCAATTTTGTGGATCTTTTCAAAGAATATCCCAATCCAATTGTTCATTATTCTTGTGGCTGTTGTCTGGTTTTTGTTTGCCTGTTTGCTATTTTTTGTTTTGTTAGCTTAGGGCAAATATTCCTCAAGCAAAACCAGGAAGATTGTCAACAGATGTTAGCTCAGGGTGAATCATCCTCAACAACAACAGAAAAGAAAAACACCTCAAGTTGATCCTTGACTTATACCATACACACACAAAATTTAATTCAAAATAGATCAA